AATGCCCTCACTGCGGAAGAAGATGCAGAGCAAGAATAGGGCTCCACAGCCACATACGGACCCACAAGAACACTGGAAGGCAATCATCCTCGGAAAATGAGGGATCGCCTAAGAAGACCACTCTGGTGGGAAGGTAATGGTAGTTATGCCGACCATATGACCTTGGAGGTATCTACAGACAATGGCGGCTCTTTGGCTTAGAAATGAAAATAAGCACCAACCCCCAGAGTCGAACACAACTGGACTTAATGTCAGGGGGAAACATTTTCCTTTTCCTAAGCAGCTCATTTGAAAATGAGCTTCATGTGTCCCCAACATGAAATATTTGGAAAGCTCTGTGTTAGACTATACTGTATTTCTCTTTGTATTTGTTTTGACATGGTTTTACAGCTGAAACACAGTAGCCGCACCTAGGCAATAGGCAAGCGGTGCCAAATTAAGTGCATACTTTGCATATTTTACCAATTTGTTTGCATATTATGCAAAATATAGTCTGCCTTGATTTATAAAACTGCAATATGACAGTCTTGTGCTACCTGCTGTGCAGTTTGCGAAAGTTAATACATATAAATCAAGTACTGCAATTAGTAAAGATGTAAATTTCCTATCAGAAAAATAAGTTCTCTGTGTGTGCCCTTCTGTGTTTGAATGACAACCTGTGAGTGACTGTGTTTGATACTTAAAGACAACACCAAGAACCCCCTTTTCCTTGGCATCACCAGAGGACCATCCCTTATTCTCAGGTTATTGACCTGGAAACCTCAGGGCCTCAGATTTTAGCTGTTGCAAAAGGCAGTCCCAGGATCCCATGAGACAACAATGTCATGTGACGCCAAAAAAACCAATGGGATTTTGGCCTGATAAATAGGAGTATTGTGTCTAGATCCAGGGAAGTCATGCTACCCCTCTATTCTGCCTTGGTCAGACCACACCTGAAATACTGTGTCCAATTCTGGGCACTGCAACTGAAGGGAAATGTTGACAAGCAGGAATGTGTCCAGAGGAGGGCGACTAAAATGATCAAGGGTCTGGAGAACAAGCCCTATGAGGAGCGGCTTAAAGAGCTGGGCATGTTTAGCCTGCAGAAGAAAAGTCTCAGAGGAGACATGATGACCATGTATAAATATCTGAGGGGAAGTCATAGAGAGGAGGCAGCAAGCTTGTTTTCTGCTGCCCTGGAGACTGGACACAGAACAATGGCTTCAAACTGCAGGAAAGGAGATCCCACCTGAATACAAGGAAGAACTCACTGATTGTGAGGGGTATTCAGCAGTGGAACTCTCTGCCTCGGAGTGTGGTAGAGGCTCCTTCTTTGGAGGCTTGTAAACAGAGGCTGGATGGCCATCTGTTGGGGGTGTTTTGAATGTGATTTTATTGCTTCTTGGCAGGGGGTTGGACTGGATGGCCCACAAGGTCTCTTCCAACTCTGTGATTCTATGATTCTATGATTTCTATTACTGCCTCCTCATGATTTCTGCCTTTCTAGTGTGAATGGCTCTTTGTAAATAATCCTTTAGGTTAGGATAGACAAATAAACCACGAGACTTAACCTCATCCCATACTGTCTGCCTTTTATAAGTTGATATATATTGGTTTTTAAAGCCATCATGGATGGCTTCTGGCCAAAGGAACAGCTGCACTTTCATTTCCTCTGTACCTTGTTCATCCTCATCATAAAATTTCTCATTCATCTAAACCTTTAATCCTTTTCTGAACCATTCTTTGTACCCTGCCTTAATAATGCCTTGAGGCATGGCAATGTTCCCATGCTTAATTATATGCTTTCAGGGGGAAAGGGCTGGTCTTGGTCTCCAGCTGTAGGCTTCTAGCTTTACCAATTAGGTTTCCCTGTGTATAAGAGAATGAGCAGAGGCTTGTGAGTCACCTTTTCTTAATGATTCGATGTTCAATTTATGTACTTCTTGTCCAGCCCTTGACTACACTTAATAAATGTTAATACACCAGTCCCTGCTATTTGGAAGATTCAGCCATCGCTTCATTTAGCTGTTCTGTGGAAATCTTTGCTTATTACAAAGAATTTCTTCTTCCTTCTTCCTATGTTTCCACCAGAGCAGAAGTGAACAGATGACACTGTGATGGCACGCCTGAGTCTTTGGGGAAACTACCATATTTTCCGGCGTATAAGACTACTGGGCGTATAAGACGACCTCCAACTTTTCCAGTTAACATATAGAGTTTGGGATATACTCACCCTCTTCCAATGCACACCAAATAAAAAATTAAAAAACTTCAGATTTGATTTCAATATGGTAATTTTCCCAATCCTGTACTTCCTTCTCAGATCTTACACATGCGCGCCTGTGCCGCTTCACTGCAGTGCTCAGGAGCGAGATCTGAGAGGCAGAGAAGGAGGTACGGTAACAGGATACATGGGCGGGCCAAGCGGGTGAAAGAGGCATGTTTTTTTCGGGCACAGCACCACTCTATCTCTTTTGTCCATACCCCAAGCATCCTGGATGCCTGCAGCTTGCTCTGCCCTACACTTACACCTTCTTGTTGAGGCACCCCCTCACCTCGTCATCGGGTCTGTGTTAAGTCACTTCTTCCCATGAATCCTGGTGAGTGGATCATGGGGGCTCTGTGTGCGAAGTTTGGTCTTGATCAGTCATTGAATGAGGGTCACAGCAGTTTCGGGAAGTGAGTGAAGGTACTGCTAGTCCCATCATCCATAGTCCATCCTCCCCCAAACCACACCAGAATGTTGAGTTGGTCATGGGGGCTCTCTGTGCCAAGTTTTGTCTGTATTGGTAATTGGATGAGTGTTGCTGTGGTCAGAGGAAGTGAGTGAAGGTACTGCAAGTCCCATTATCCGTGGTCCATCCTCCTCCTCCTCCACAACCCTTGCTACTTTCATACAATTGCCACATACAGGGGGATATGGCCGCGGCCGTTTTTGAGCTCCCCCCACCATATGCGGCGACCACAGATTCTCCAGTCCAACTTGGAAGTTTCAGCACTTGCCCTATAAGATGGCACCCAGCATATAAGATAACCCCCAACTTTTGAGAAGATTTTTCTGGGTTAAAAAGTAGTCTCATACTCCAGAAAATACAGTATATTGTCTGGCTGTACTCGGGGACTATCTGATATCTTCTTTTAAGATTAAGGCTCTTAACAGACAAAGGCACTTTGAGGCGAGGTGAAAAGATAACAAAATAAAATTACTGAAACAAGCAGAATTAAGGGTTAACTCCACCTGGGACTATCCTGAGGTAACTTAAAACCATACATTACAAAGGGAGCACTTGCTAGGTGAAAACAGCTCTCTGGGGTGGTCAAAACTATTGCTTCTGGTGTCAAGTGATGGCTAAAATCTGCCTTAATCTTCTCTCCTTATAAAGCTTGTGCTGACCAAAGCTTCAATTGTCCTATGGACTGGTGGTAAGTGTAGCAGTAGCTGTATGTGCTAAGAAATGCCTGTTGGATTGATAGGCCTAGGATTTCCAGACAGTACCCAGGCCTCTATTGCTCTACTACAGAAAGGAGGAGGAGCCCAGCAAGGAGTTCTGGGGAAAAGGAATAAACCAACCAAGGCAAGCCTCTGAGGAGTGTTTTAAGCTCCACCCACAAGCTATTAAAAAGCAAGGTAACTACTAGGCATTGGGCTTGTTTGATCCAAAAAAAAATTGTTCAAACCAATTTCGGTTGTAGGGGGCACTGGTGGTTTGGATCTAATGTCAATTCCGATTTTCACAGAAAAAAAATTCAAAACTTTGCAAAACTTCCAAGACTTCCGAATCAAGACTTCCGTTGCAAAGTGTTATTTCCTGTTTCATTGGGTGGTCTTTACTTTGAAAGTAGTTGTTTTATTCCAGAAGCGGGGGGGGCAAAAGGAAGAAATCCGCTTCTCTAGTTTAAGACTGAAGCGAGAGGGAAAGGAAAGGAAGGGAATCCATCCACACTGGTTTAAACTGATGCAGGAGGGAAAGGAAAGGAAGGGAATCCATCCACACTGGTTTAAACTGATGCGGAGGGAAAGGAAAGGAAGGGAATCCATCCACACTGGTTTAAACTGACGCGGGAGGGAAAGGAAAGGAAAGGAAAGGAAAGGAAAGGAAAGGAAAGGAAGGGAATCCATCCACACTGGTTTAAACTGCAGCGGGAGGGAAAGGAAGGGAATCCATCCACACTGGTTAAAACCACTTCTCTCACTTAAGACTGACGCAGAAGAGAAAGAAAAGGAAGGGAGTCAATCTACACTGGTTAAAACCGCTTCTCTCCCGGGAGGGAAAGGAAAGGAAGGGATTCCATCCACACTGGTTTAGAATACTTCTCTGGCTTGAACCGAGGCCAGGGAACAGAAGCGAGGGAAAAGCTGAATCATTTGTGTAACTAATAATACGGTATGTTCTGTATTAACCACAAACGAAATATATAACTCTCTGTGATAGTAACAATACTAGGGCATGGTCACAGAAATATCTTTTGGGATCTTGTTAGCAGTAATGTCTTTGGAATATGAGGGGAGGGGATTTTTGTCAGAATTCATAGATATATGGACTTCAGTTCATTATGTTTATTTATTTGTGCGCATGCACACATGTGTGCGTACACTTCAGATCATGCTCTGAGTAGACAGATTTGTTTTTCATCTAAGTGCACAGTCTCATCTGATTAGAAGATGAAAACAGTGGGCAATGGGAGTGAATTTTTACAGGGCAATGTGCCACTGCTTTCTTTTAGCTGATGATAGGTTAATTAGGATTGTTGTTGTTGTGTGCTTTCAAGTTGTTTCAGACTTAGGGCAACCCTAAATCTAACATTTAAATCAAGGGATGGATAAATGGTCTAGGAGGGCTGCATCTAGCCTACGAGCCTTAGTTTGTGAACCTCCGGGCTACAAGAAAATATCTAGTATCATGTGTAATGACTTTTGCTTATGTCTTTGCTTTGTCTTTTCTAAAGTAATAATATAGCATTTATTCTTTTACAAGTGTATCCATGGTGTGTGAAATTCCTTTTGAAAATTAACATTGCAGGTGAAGAAAGCCGTGCAGCAGATAGGTTTTGGAAGGAAGAAGAGAGGATACAGAGATATCAATGAAATTGACATCAACATGAATGATCCCTTGTTCACAAAGCAGTGGTACTTGGTAAGCAACATTGAGTCATTTTAAGGTAATATTAACCCATTTGTATAGAAAGAAAATAAACAAGGAGATTAGTAATATTAAATGATTTCCTGTTTATTTGTTAATATTATTATTTATTTATTTATTTAGAGCTTTTATAACCCGGTCTTCTCGACCTCCGAGGAGGGACTCAGGCCGGCTAACAACAGAGAATCAATATACAAATAAACTAAAGCATAATAACATCATAGTACATTAATACATTAAAACACATTAAAATACAGATCAAGAATTACATAAAGCCAATTCATCAAGATAAATCACAAATTCACCACCATCCGCCTTGTGGTCAACAGTTATTGATTCGATCATCAATCTGAGAATGCTAAGTTCCAGAGCCAAGATTTTACCATCTTTCTGAAAGTCAGGAGGGAGGGGGCAGATCTGATCTCCTCTCCCCCGCTGTTTAAATGGAACATTCATATAGTATCCTAATGATGTAACAGAAGACCTTGAAAAAGTGACTTTTTGGACTCTTAACAACCAGAGTCCTTCAGCCAACATGGCTGCTGCCTTCGTGACTGCAGAAAGATTGGCATTGTAGTTCAAAAATATAACTTTACAGCACTCTGGGTTGGAGCAGCATTCTCACAATATTTGTAACTAGCTATATGACTATGGCCATGTCTACAAAGACCAAATAAAATACACTCATCTTGAACTCACTGAGTACATGATGTATGGCCAGCTCCTCAGTAGAACAGAATAGAATAGAATAGCTTTATTTGTCATTGTGTTACTGCACAATGAAATTACGTGCCTTTCCCTGCAAACACCACAAAACAACACACCCATCCCTCCATACCCACACCCCCACCACCACACAAAGTGCTGCTTCCAGCCTTTAATCCATCACAAGAAGGACAGCAGGTCACTTCAGAGCTTCCAGGAAACTCCAGAGTGATTCCTTAAGTTTATGACCGATGGATAACTGGATTGGGCTGGATCCAGTGTAGTCCAGTGTCCACAGAAGTAGCACCCCACAGAACCTTCCTGGTGATATTGTTCCCGGTAATCACATATCTGGCTGCCTGTTGTAGCCTCCCCAGAAGTGGCCTAAGCAGTAAGTTTCTGCTGGGGAGCTGTTTCTAGATGACAAAACAGTAGTGGTGTTGTGGTTCAAACCATTTGATTTAGAGGTTGACCCTATGTATTAGAGAAAAGGAGATACACAGTGCTTCTCTCTCTCTCTCTCTCTCTCTCTCTCTCTCCTCTTTAAAAAAGTCTCAGGGCTCAAATCTGTCTGGATAAGCATGCCACTTGTTTTCAGATGTTTCCCTGCTCCTTATGGGTTTCCATTTATTTATTTATTTACAACTTTTATATGCCGCCCTTCTCACCCCGAAGGGGACTCAGAGTGGCTTACAAGGTATATATACATACAATATATTGTTAACATAGTACAATATCAGTTTTAAATATTGCTATATTGTACTATATCAATTATACTGTAATATTATTAGTAATATTACATGTAATATTGGCCACATCATGAGGAGACAGGAAAGCCTAGAGAAGACAATTATGCTGGGGAAAGTGGAAGGCAAAAGGAAGAGGGGCCGACCAAGGGCAAGATGGATGGATGGCATCCTTGAAGTGACTGGAATGACCTTGAGGGAGCTGGGGGTGGTAACGGCCGACAGGGAGCTCTGGCGTGGGCTGGTCCATGAGGTCACGAAGAGTCGGAGACGACTGAACGAATGAACAACAACAAATATCATATTAGTAGTAGTAGTATTATATTGCATTACATTATAATATATAAATATTATATGTATATACAATATATATTATATTATATTATATTATATTATATCATACTATATTATATTATTAGAATAGCACAGGAGACAAGGTGGAGCTGTCCCCTGGCCCCCTCTCTCTTCACTCCGGCCCAGAGCGGCAGTTGGTGCTGGGGGGTGGGAGGGGTCCCCAACTGATGGCATATGCAGGAGACAAGGTGGAGCTGTCCCCTGGCCTCCCCTCTCTTCGCTCTTTGGAAGGAAGAAGAGAGGATATAGAGATATCAATAAAATTGACATCAACATGAATGATCCCTTCTTCACAAAGCAGTGGTTCACAAAGCACCATTGGCCATGAGAAGGACATGGCTTTAGAAATGCCTTAGTCCCTCAAAGTATGGTATTCCTTCTCTTTCGCTGACTCCCTTAGTTTCCAGTTCTTCTGTTTCCCTCCTCCGTCTTCTCTTCCTCTGACCTGATCCCCTTTGAGGTATTTTTACTGCTCACTCCCTTGCTTCCACTTTACATAGCAGCAGGATCTATACTGACAATTTAATGCACTTTCAAATCAGTATTGAATATTCAAGCTCCAGGTATCTTGTTTTCACAGCCTTCAGGCTATGTCAAAGAGAGGCAGAGACATCTGTTTTCTATATGAGACCAAATCTGTTCACAAACTGAGGCATAACCATTTCTTTTGGTGGCTCACAAGGGCTGACCTTTATCATTCCAGTGAGATTTCAGAGCAGCTCCCAGATGAGCTCTTTTTTTTTGGGGGGGGGGGGTTATGTCAGGAGCGGCTTGAGAAACTGCAAGTCACTTCTGGTGTGAGAGAATTGGCCGTATGCAAGGACGTTGCCCAGGGGATGCCTGGATGTTTTGATATTTTATCATCCTTGTGGGAGGCTTCTCTCATGTCCCCGCATGGGGAGCTGGAGGTGATAGAGGGAGCTCATCCGTGCTCTCCCGGATTCGAACCTGCGACCTGTTGGTCTTCAGTCCTGCCGGCACAGGGGTTTAACCCACTGTGCCACCGATGGCTCCCCCAGATAAGCTTAAGCAGGGGGATCCATCAGTCCCATTTGTGTCTTAGAATAGACCTTTATTTTATGCTAGTGTTTATGGATACTATGCCTCTTCCTGGGCTGCATTCCCAAGCAAATGAAGGCTATTTGGTAGCAGATGAATCAAATGGAATCTCTGTGGATGTAAACATTCTGCTTTGTGCCAAACAAATAAGTCTTGTGTTTTTTCATTTGTAATTTGATGCACTAGATCAACACTGGGCAAGCAGATGGGACTCCTGGACTCGATTTGAATGTAGCAGAAGCCTGGGAGTTGGGTTACACGGGGAAAGGAGTAACTATAGGAATTATGGACGATGGTAAGTGGAAACTGAAACAGCATCTGCGTAAATTTCACCCCTTTCAGTAACATGAGGAATGCAATTTAAATTAAAGCTTAATATGGTGACTCACACAGGCTTTAATGAGAACTTTGTAAGACATTCAGCCATATTTTAATAAGAAATCATCCACAAAAAGTTCCTCTAGGGTACAATCCATGAATGTTTATGATGCCTTAAAAAAAGCCAGAAGTAGTTTTTCTAGTTCACATGCACTAGCTGTCAGCATATTTTACAAATTTAGAAAGTGCCTAGCACAACAGAACAGAACTGTAGTTCAATTTCAGTTCAATTATAACTATTATTGCAGTAATAATATGAGAGCATGAAACACGAAAGAATTTGGGGGTGGAGGGGACACACACACACAATTTTAGTAGGAAGTCACTGTGTTTTTTCAACATGAGATCTATATTAATGTTTGTCTCAGTTTACATTTGCTAAAATTTCAAATTTACACTGTAAGCTTTTCAGCCAAGTTGTTTTCTGGTACAGACCCTCAGGGACTTTTCCTTAGTGATATAGATGTACCAAAGGAGAAGCGATGGCATGTTATCTACCTAGAGTACCATTCATCTGTGCCTTGTTCTTGGCCTTGGCACATCCATTCTGATTTATTTATTTATTTATTTTATATATTTATATCCCACCCTTCTCCCCACAAGGAGGACTCAGCGCGGCCTCAAATGAGCATCAGAGGATGCTAACAGCATAAATACCATAAAAATTGCAATCACAATAAAATCATTTTAAAACATTTTACAACATCATCAGTAAAATTTAACAATAGATTAATAGATTAATGTGCCAGTAAAACCAAGCTGAGCCAGGAGAATCCATGTCGCAAAATCCAAATTTCCTTTTCCTATTGCCGCTGGCCTCTAGTTGAACACCTGGACCCAGAGCCAGGTCTTCGGTTGTCTTCTAAAGGACAGGAGGGAGGTGGCCAACCTGATATCCTTAGGGAGAGAGTTCCACAGATGAGGGGCCACTGCCGAGAAGGCCCTGTCTCTTGTCCCCACCCACATTTGCAAAAGTGGTGGGATCGAGAGCAGGGCCTCTCCTGATGATCTTAAGCTTCATGATGGTTCATAGCAGGAGATACATTCGGACAGGTAATCTGGGCCAGAACCTTTCAGGACTTTAAAATCAGCACTTTGAATTGTGCCCGGAGCTAATCGGCAGCCAATGGAGCTGGTGCAACAGAGGAGTGGTACGCTCCCTGTACGCAGCTCCAGTTAACAACCTGGCTGCTGACCGCTGGACTAATTGGAGCTTCCGAGAAGTTTTCAAAGGCAGCCCCACGTAGAGAGCGTTGCAGGAGTCTATTCGGGATGTAACCAGAGCGTGGACACACCTGAGACTCTCTTAGCCCAAACTCTGTCTATTATGCCTTGAAGGGAAGTTAATTCTAGTAAGGGATGACAGAACAGAGACAGGTGGTTGAATACAAGCAATAACTTCATGTCCACTAATCAACCAGCCAATATATTTATGCCAATATACAGAAGAACTGGCCAAAATCCTGAAAGTGGTAGTTTTTGAACTCATTTCTTAATTCTATTCATTTAAAAGTTGAACATTGATCTCATAATTTCTGCAGACCATAGCTCATCCCCGAAAAGGATGTAAATGCTTGAAGAAGATGATCTTGGTATGAAATTTCCTGGTCCACACTTTCCAGACTCCAGCTAGACCTCCATATTGGCTGGGGTTAGGGGCACAGGACCACTGCAAAAATGGAAACAACACAACTAAAAATACAGTACTTGTTTCTTACCTGATAAAACACCAGCAATAGGAATCACTAGGTCCTCCATCATGATTCTATAGCCAAAATCCAATAAAATTGCAATGGAGGACCTAGAGATTCCTAATGTGGGTTTTCTCCAGGAAGAGGGACAACACAAGGCATAAGAGATGGTAGGAAGAGAGAGCAGGCCTTCTTTCATCTTCGCCAGGCAAGGAAATTGGCATCCTACCTTTCGGTAGAAGCATTGGCAATGGTAATCCATGCAACAGTCACCACTAGGTTGAACTATTGCAATGCCTTATATGCCGGCCTTCCAAAGTCAACAACCCAGAAGATTCGGATGGTCCAAAATGCAGCGGCCAGGCTGCTAGCAGGATCATCTATAAGATCCCATATTACACCGATTCTGCAACAACTGCATTGGCTACCAATAGAACATCGGATCTCTTACAAGATACTGATCCTGACATTTAGAGCTCAAAATGGCCAAGGACCTTTATATCTTAGGGACCGCTTCATTTTTCCCTGTCAGTGGTTACCTTGATCCACCCAAGAAAATCTCCTATACATACCAGGCCCTAGGGAGGTACACCTGGAAGCTGGCCATACCTTGGGAAGTCTGACTTGGCCACGGTAGTCCACGCTCTGGTTACATCCCGTATAGACTACTGCAACGCTCTCTATGTGGGGTTGCCTTTGAAGACTGCTCGGAAGCTTCAAATGGTCCAACGCTCGGCAGCCAGGTTACTAACAGGAGCGGCACTCAGGGAGCATACAACTCCTCTGTTGCGCCAGCTTCACCGGCTGCCAGTTTGCTACCAGGCACAATTCAAGGTGCTGGCATTAGCCTATAAAGTCCTAAACGGTTCTTGCCCTACTTACCTCTCTGAACACATCTCCTCCTATGAACCAACTAGGACATTAAGATCATCTGGGGAGGCCCTGCTCTCAGTCCCGCCTGCATCACAGGTACGCCTGGCGGGGATGAGAGACAGGGCCTTCTCAGTGGTGGCCCCTCGGCTGTGGAACGCCCTTCCTATAGATATCAGATCGGTCCCATCCCTATTGGCGTTTCGGAGGAAAGTGAAGACCTGGCTGTTCGAACAAGCATTCGATTAAGCAGTGTAATGAATATAGGAACACGGATTAACGGATGATGAGATTGGATTCTGATTTTACTGATGAGACGCTAATGATTGTTATATTGATGTTTAATTGTTGATGATGCTACTGTCTTTAACTGTCCCATATTCGTTTTATGATGTTTTGCATTGAATTTTGCTGTTGTTAACTGCTTTGAGTCACCTGAGGGCTGAGAAAAGCGGTATATAAATGAAGTAAATAAATAAATATGTTGAATGTTTTTATATTGTGTAAATGCTATTTTAAATTGTAAGTCTCTCGGAGCACCTTGATGGAGAGCGACTAAGAAATAAAGTGGAGTGAAGTGGAGTGAAGCATGAGGCATAAGACAAGGGTTACAGATTGGCACAACTTGATGTAAGGCATTCATAAAACTGCCATTAAAAAATCAACATTACAATATAAAACATAAATAAAAACCATTACAGCATATAATCATTAGGCTTGGGCGATCCAGTTCGTTAATTTCGTAATTCGTTATTAATTTGTATTTAAATTAGCTTACGATCCAATATCGAGCCATGCAGGAATAGTGTGAGGAGTAATTAAGAATCGAAACAATTTTTCCAATTTTCGTAATTATTTCGTAATTATTTTCGTATGTCTGGTGCAAGTTTTACAATCTCGCATTTACCCCACTTCCGGTCCCTTTGCTCTGCTGCTTCCCTCCTCTTTCCTCATGCTTCTTCTTGCCTCACTCTAATATACAATACTATAATATAATATATAATAATATAATAATATAATATAATATAATATAATATAATATAATATATAATATTATATTATATATATAATATACAATTATAATATAATATAATATATAATATATATTATATATATAATAATATAATATAATATACAATAATATAATATAATAATATTATAATATAATATACAACAATATAATATAATAATATTATATATAATATAATATAATATAATATAATATAATATAATATAATATAATATATATAATATAATATAATATAATATAATATAATATAATATAATATAATATAATATAATACAATATAGTTGTTTGTTTTATCACACCAACAGTCAAAAACAGGGGGAGAGGGAAGCTTCAGAAGTTCCCCCTGTCCCATTTGGAGGTTTTTTAGCATATTGCGCAATCGCGTCCGCCATTAACGAATCGATTCGTAATTTACGAAATTTCAGAAATTTTGAAATTTTGAAATCTTAAATTTCGGAAGTCCTCAGAATTTAGAAACGCTAGCGCACCCTAGAAATGAAACGAGTTTAGAACCAATTTTTTTCTTGATCGCCCAAGCCTAATAATCATTGGTGTCATCTTGTTAAAACCGTTATCCAGTAACATCGTCTGGCTATTCCATGTTCATCATTCATAGTTCTGTGTTATCCATTCCGCTGCATACTCAAAAGCTTGCTCAAACAGCTAAGTCTTCATTTTTTTTCCGGAAAGTCAGGAGGGAGGGGGCCGATCTAATATCCCTGGGGAGGGAGTTCCCAGTTTTTTTCATCCACTTTTTTTCTTTTATCCACTTCATGAAAGCCTTCCAGCTTTATGAAACCATGGGAAATGTAGTAAACCTTGTAAATCCACAATTCCCCTTGGTTGCATAGCATCGAGCCATGGCAGTTAAAGTGCTTTCAAATGGCATTAATTCTACAGTGCAGATGCACCCTTAGACAAAGATTCTTAAGAGGTCCATACTGGTGCCTTCTGCAAATGGAAGGAGAGAAGAAATTGCTCAGACACAACTGGTAGCCTCCCACTGTTGAAGCAGAACTGGCTACATGCAAATCTCCACCTCCACCTGGTGTGCGTGCATGCAAGTAAGAGGATTATGGGCCAAATGGTAATCGGAATTGCCCAATAGGTTGCCAATTATCAGCATCCATTCAAATGCTCTATAAACATGAAAGAATAGCCCTGGGAGTTTTGTGCAAGAAATCTGACTATGCAAAGAGCTGACTTCATAATACACTGTGAACAGGAGAATCTATGATTCTAACACTTTCCCCACTGCTTTCTTCTCACGTATTCCCTGACAATCAATAAAAGAGCACAAACTCTAAGCTGAAATAAATGGCCTTATAAAAAGAAATAATGAATATCCTATTTTTAAATAGTAAATTTTGTCCTGGGCAAAGGAGTCACATGGTCCTCAAAAGATCTGTGTAATAGTTGCCCCCCCCCCCCCCAATGCAATTATATTAAAACTGCTGTGATGAGAAGCCATATGAGTTGGATGGGAACTAAAAGAGAGAAATGAAACAGAAATGTGAAATGAGAACCTTTTGCAGAATTCTTCCATGTGAGCTACAGGAAACAAATATTACAGTCGTGCCACAGAGAAGGAATTAAATTGCCTTTTTTGTGATTGCATTGTTCTGAAGCACCTCTTTTGTTCTGTCATTGTTTTTGTCACCTTGAATCTTGGCTATCTTAGATCTTGTTGATGCATATTTATAGTCTTCCAAACTGTAGTCGTGGCTAATATTGTTACATATGTCATTAGTCCTAACTGCTGTGAATGTACAGTTCTAAAATGTGGTATCAAGAATGATTTAGCTGCAGACAATGTGGTATTCTTTTAAAGTGGAGGGATTCAGGGGTATGTGTGTCACAGGAGCCACACAAGGATCCTAAGTGTTTGGAATCTGAGGCCTTCAGATTCCTGTTATGTAACATGCAACATGTAGAACACCACACGCATCTTTCCAGGGTCAACCCAACCATTAAGCAGCATGAGGCAGTGACTTTAACTTAATTTAACTTTTAACTGCTGCCATGAAAGTGCAACAAACTCTTAAAAGTTGTGTTCTTGCAACTTGCTTGTGGGATGTTGTGCCTCAGGTGAAAAAATAGCATGATGTTAGTCAGTGGTTCTCAACCCGGGGTCCCCAGATGTTTTTGGCCTTCAACTCCCAGAAATCCTAACAGCTGGTAAACTGACAAGGATTTCTGGGAGTTGTAGGCCAAAAACATCTGGGGACCCCAGGTTGAGAACCACTGTGTTAGATACTATGCCCATTGCAAGTATGATAGAAGCATCAAAAACTCGGGCATTACAAACTCATTTCTTTCATAAGAATTGATACCTCAAGGTCCATTTCAAAAACAGAATTTTCTCCAGCTCCAGCATGCACTTATTAGCATATCTCTTCCTTTTGTTTATTATTACATTCTTCATCACCACTAATCTTAGTTATAGCAAAAAAAAAAAAATCTAATTCCAGAAATTTCAGAAAAAGGATACTCACCCCATATATGGAAAGTATCCATTAGCCATTCTTTTCTCATAGAATGGTTACAGACAAGGGGTGAGTTAAATGCTATAAAGCAGGGGTGAGAAATGTTACCTTCTGGATGTTGCTGAACTGCAAACTCCATCAGTCCTATTCAGCATCACCAGTGGGGAGAATTGATTGTAGTTTCGGTCTAACCACATCAGAAGATCCATATGTTCCCCACCCCTATTGTAGAGCATCATGTATGTAAATGCACAACTCAGGAATACTGAGTCTTAGTTTCCCTGAAGATGGGACTGTAGACACCAACTGGGTTCTCACTTTAAGTGGTACTTTGTTAAGTTCAAGATTACTGCTTGTATAGGACACAGAATAACCTGGAGGTGACCATTCATTCCTTTTACCCTCTAAAGATATAGACAGTGACTTGCAAAAATATTCTCAAAGATCATTGCTGCAATACAAATTTAAGTTGTGATGAGGAATGGTCACACAGTACGTGAGCAATTTCCAGTTGACATATCTGCTCTCCAAATTTATTTATTTATTTATTTAGCACTTTTATATTTATTTAGCACTTTTATATTTATTTAGCACTTTCTCACCTCCAATGAGGGACTCAGGCCGGTTTACAACAAGGGGGTTCATACACAATAGTTTAAAAACATCACATCAATAATACACTAATATAAACACATTAAAGTACTATCATATAATTATATAAAGCCAAATCGTTAGCATACAAATCACTATTCATCCTCATCCGTCCGTGTGGTCAAAAGCCATTGCCTCACTCATCAAATGCCAGATTCCAAAGCCAGGTTTTCACCAACTTTCTAAAGGTCAGGAGGGAAGGGGCAGTTCTAATCTCCAATGGGAGAGAGTTCCAGAGCCGAGGGGCCACCACCAAGAAGACCCTGTCCCTCGTCCCCACCAAACGCGATTGCGAAGATGGTGGGACCGAGAGCAGGGCCCCTCCAGAAGATCTTAACAACCTTGATGGTTCATAGGGGAGAATCCGTTCGGACAGGTAAACTGGGCCAGAGACGTTTAGGGATTTATAGGTCAACACCAGCACTTTGAATTGTGCTCGGAAGCTAATTGGCAGCCAGTGGAGCTGGCGCAACAGAGGAGTGGTATGCTCCCTGTACCCCGCTCCTGTTAGTAATCTGGCTGCCGCATGTTGGACTAATTGCAGCTTCCGGGCAGTCTTCAGAGGCAACCCCACATAGAGAGCGTTGCAGTAGTCTATACGGGATGTAACCAGAGTGTGGACCACCGTGGCCAAGTCAGACTTCCCAAGCTATGGGCGCAGCTGGCACACAAGTTTTAATTGTGCAAAACCTCCCCTGACTACCGCCAAGACCTGGGGTTCCAGGCTGAGCGATGAGTCCAGGATCACTCCCAAGCTGCGAACCTGCGCCTTCAGGGGGAGTGTAACCCCATTTCGACTGACCAGGAGTACCTCTGTCTTGTTTGGATTTAGTTTCAATCTGTCATCCAGTCCGTTACAGCGGCCAAGCACCGGTTCAGGACTTGAACAGCCTCCTTAGTAGCAGGTGGAAAGGAGTAACAGAGTTGGACATTAGGGCTGGGCGGTTTCGTTCGTTAATTTCGTAATTCGTTATTAATTCGTTATTTTTTTTTGATAACGAAGCGATATTGAACCATTCAGGAGCAACTAAAAAACGAAACGAATTTTTCCAATTCGTTTCGTAATTGTTTCGAAATTGTTTCGTAATTGTTTCGAAATTGTTTCGTTATTATTTCGTTATTGTTTCCATATGTCTGGTGCAAGTTTTATTTCTTTATTTCTTTATTTATTTACAGTTCTTATATTCCGCCCTTCTCACCCCGCAGGGGACTCAGGGCGGATTACAGTAAACACATATATGGCAAACATTCAATGCCAGTTTGACAAATAACATTTAACAGACAAATACACCGAGGCTATTTAACTTTTTTCTGGCCGCCAGGGGAGCTGCTGCTTTTCATCGTCCATCAACGACACCGATGAAGTTCTTCCGCATTCCACATTCCCCGGAGTCTTTTTTCTTTATGGCCTCATAAATTAGTTAAATTTAGCCTCCCACACAAGGTGGTCCCTTATTTTCCTACTTGATAGATGCAACTGTCTTTCGGGTTGCAAAGGTCGACAATGGGCTACACAATGGCTGGACACCCACTCCAGCCCGGGCTGGCTTCGAACTCATGACCTTTTGGTCAGAGTGATATTAATGCAGCTGACACTCAGCCAGCTGCGCCACAATCCCGGTTTTATAGTCGTTGTTTGTTTTATTAGTGATAAAAAAAATATCACACCAACATTCAACAACAGAGGGAGAGGGAAGCTTCAGAAGTTCCCCCTGTCCCATTTGGAGGGTTTTTTAGCGTATTGCGCAATCGCGTCCACCATTAACGAATCGATTCGTTATTGTTTCGAAATTGTTTTGTAATTTCCAAAATTTCGTAAATATCGAACTTTTTAAAAGAAAAATTTCGGAATTCTTTTAAATAACGAAACGCAAAAAACCCCTAAAAACGAATCGAGTTTAGAAACAAATTTTTCCGTGGTTGGACAGCCCTATTGGACATCATCTGCGTACAGATGGCACTGAACCCCAAAACTCCGGATGATCTCTCCCAACGGCTTGATCTCCCAACATGGTGTCAAAGCTTCACGGATCAAAGCGACTTTGTCCGCAAAGTACTGAGCAAAGGTCCAAAGGGCCAAGTCAATACATTTTGTTGTTCAGGGTGAAAGGCAAGATGGAAACCACTCTTCCTTCTTTAGGAATCAACTAGATAAGTGGGTGGATCTCACTTCAATACAGCCAAACCTCACTATTCATGAATATTATTTCATGGATTCAACCAGCCAAAGTTTGAAAATGTATAGTTTTATAAGGCAAACTTTGGTTTTGCCATTTTATATAAGAGGCACCATTTTACAAAGCCATGGTATATAATTGCATGTGAACATCCAGGAGCTCTCGAATCCATGGGGGTTCTCAAACCAAACCCTAGTGGGTACCAAGGGCCCACTATCTGAGAATTAGCCAAATCCTCCATTCCACATAAGCTAATTTAGGGAGCATAGGTTCAGCTTCAGGACACACAACTCTCTGACTACCCGCAGATGTTCCTCACTCCCCAACATCTTCCAAAAGCAGCTAACTCACCCTAACTCACCTTTAGAACGGTTGTATGTTCTAAGATACTGAGCTATAGAATGATCTTATCTGATTGTTCTTTTGCCAGCCTTACATTGCATATTTCAAAACTTCTAATTTTGCTGAAATTATTTGGTATGTATTGATTTACAACCATTTGCATAACTAAAAAACTGTTCTGCGTCTGTTCTGCAATACTTCTGTGTCTTCTCTGAACACATATCAGAACATAGCTTGTAAATCTGGCTTGTAACATTTAATAGTAGGTTTTGTTCCTGTATAATGCAAAAGCCAAGGACTGACAGCTTGGATTTAACTGGGCAATCTCTGTGGCCAATATTGCTTCTCGTAGTTCGCTTATTTACACATAACTGGATTTCATAGCTCTTCAAACCATCTCTATTTGAAGCATGCAGCTGCTGTTATTTGCTTCCTCATAGCTTATGTACTGTAATTCTATTTTTCAGGGATTGATTATCTTCATCCAGATCTGGCCTCCAATTATGTAAGTCAACAATGTTCTCTGTATTACATTTTTTTAATTCTTCTGTCTAACCTTTTATAGGAAACTAAACCTAAGAAAACTGGGACATGTTGCAAGCAGTACTGGAATGTAGTTAAGATGGCAAAAGTTATCAATAATAAGGAATACACACGCTAGAGGAGGTTGCACAGGTTGCTTTTGCAACTTACAGGGAAGGGCAAAGCTCCATCCCTTATCTCTTTTCTTCCCCCTACAGATTTACTTGAGTCCAAACTACTTTTACATTTGCAGTGATTTAAGATTAATTTGTAGTGACTGAAGTGAAGTTGGGGGTGGGGGGAGGCTATTCTAAAAGCAGCTGGAGAAATCAGAGGGCAGAGTATTCTTTGGATTGACCTTGCCAAACCAGGAAAGTTTGGCAGGGCACATTTTAGACAATGTTGTACAATTGAAGTACAATTTTCATTTTAGTTTAAACAGTATATGTAACATAAGCTCTTAAGAAGAGCTTATGTTACATATACTGTTTAAACTAAAGAGTCTAACCTACATACTCATAGTGTATGTAGGTTAGACTCTTCTCTTGTCTAACCTACATACACTATGAGTAGCTCCTCCTTTCCTCTTCTTGATCCACCTTTAAATTACAGCTCCCTACTGTTGGTGGTTTTTCTCCTGAGACCCATGCATACCGTTAATAATAATAATAATAATAATAATAATAATAATAATAATAATAATACTTTATTTGTACCCCGCTACCATCTCCCGAGGGACTCGGTGCAGCTTACATGAGGCCGAGCCCACAACACAACAATAACAGCAATAATACAAAAACAATACAAAACTCATAGCAAAATAAGCAAAAACAATAACAATAACACGACGCATTTAAAAACCAATGGCTGGGCCAAATGCAATAATTAAAAATTTAAAAAATAATGCTGGGCATGAACAGGTAGCATGTAATTGGAATAAAAGGTTTTGAAGAGGGAAGAAATGTGCAGACAATCCAAAATCATTATTAAAGTGCATTTGAGGACATATTGCTGGGAGTTTCCTTATTCTGGGAAGGCACACTGAAACAGCCACGTTTTCAGGCTCCTCCTAAAGACTGCCAGAGTCGAGGGGCCACCACCGAGAAGTCCCTCTCCCTCGTCCCCGCCAATCGCGCTTGCGATGGTGGTGGGAGCATGAGCTGGGCCTCTCCAGATGATCGAAGAGATCATGTGGGTTCGTACACAGAGATGTGGTCACGCAGCTAGCGGGTCCCAAACCGTTACAACTACGATCCTTTCCAGTTGTTCTATATCAAATACCATTCAAATTTTCATCTGGCTTTGCCCACTTCAGGCAAACATGGGGCATACTCTGACATTTGCTGGAAATTCTGGAGTATCCTACAACTTTATAGCAATTTGGACAGCGAGATTAGGCGCAGTTCAGCCCAGTTTGTTGTCCACTGGTGTCATCACACTTTCTCTGTGGTATAAGCTCCTGACCACCACAGGTGCATCTGCTGACATTAGAATATAATACCTATGCAAGCAGCATGGAGAAGTGGGGTGATCTCCTTTCCTTCTTCCTCATTGCAAGGGTATCCCCTTCTGACATCAAAGAGGCAACTGTGCAACCAGGCGATCCCTACTCCTTCCTGGTTGTGTTGCTGCCTCTGGTGATATCAAAATGGCTCTGCAATCAGGAAGAAAGAGGGGAAAGAACTACAGCAAAATGAAAGAATTAAGATTTATACTGCGTCCAAGGCCTGTCTGTGCATCCCACCCATGTGAGCTCTGGGGCACATCTACACAGGGATAAACTGCCTGGTGTAGGTGACCCATTAGATCCAGGATCTAACATTTTGTAGTTCTAGGCTTAGACCTACTATAGCCATGGGGTTCCAGGGTGTAGAATCATAGAGTCATAGAATCATAGAGTTGGAAGAGACCTCATGGGCCATCCAGTCCAACCCCCTGCCAAGAAGCAGGAATATTGCATTCAAAGCACCCCTGACAGATGGCCATCCAGCCTCTGTTTAAAAGCTTCCAAAGAAGGAGCCTCCACCACACTCTGAGGCAGAGAGTTCCACTGCTGAACGGCTCTCAGAGTCAGGAAGTTCTTCCTCATGTTCAGATGGAGTCTCCTTTCTTGTAGTTTGAAGCCATTGTTCCGTGTCCTAGTCTCCATGGAAGCAGTAAACAAGCTTGCTCCCTCCTCCTTGTGACTTCCTCTCACATATTTATACATGGCTATCATATCTCAGCCTTCTCTTCTTCAGGCTAAACATGCCCAGCTCCTTAAGCCGCTCCTCATAGGGCTTGTTCTCCAGACCCTTGATCATCGTAGTCACCCTCCTCCGGACACATTCCAGCTTGTCAATATCTCTCTTGAATTGTGGTGCCCAGAACTGGACACAGTATTCCAGGTGTGGTCTAACCAAGGCAGAATAGTGTAGTATATTCACATTTCCTAAATCGGGAAGAGCACAACATTGCCTTGTAGATGTTGTTGGATTGTAACTTCCAGTTGCAGTTCAACAATAGCTAGGGAGTAATAATTTACACAGCCTGGTCTAAATAATGCTGAACCCAACTTGAAGGATTTTGGAATATCAGTGTATCTGAAAAGTCTTTAGTACAACTGAATTTTCTTGTATATGTACAGTCCAACTAAGTGGGCGAATTATTATTATTTTTAACTGCAGAAGTATATTTAGGTGTTTTTTTTTTAAAAAAAAGATTGGAGTTGGGATGGGGAAAATATCTTTCTGTTGCACTATAGGTAATACAGAAGGATTAGTTCTTTACCCTCCTCTTCAATTATTCACTGAGTATATATTGATTCTTACATAAAGTACGAAACATAATGTCAACATAGCTCTGTGAGGTTTTACAGTGCAAATAAAGAGATAGTAGAACTGGGGGATATAACTACATGCTCCAAAGGTAAAAAGGAAAGGAAAAAAAGCCAGACTTGTTCTATATCATTCTATTTGCATTGTTAGGCTTCAGGCCAAGCATCGAGTGAGACTCATTCGAGAATAATGCAAGGTTCTTTGTTTCCTTGGGTGAATTAAAGCATGTAGGCATCACAAAGAGTTTTCCATAGTAACATCTGAGTAATTGTAAGCAAGAGCAGAGGTATGCCAAGTATGATTTATTTAGACTGATCCCAGGAAAGAGACTGGAGGAGGAGCAAAGTTGCATTGTCCTTGAAAAGGATGAGTTGCTTTGATTAAGAGATGAGAATTTTATAGGAGCTGCAGGATAGCAAAATGGCAGCTCTGAACTTCATGTACTGACCTTTTCATATCTTGGTGATCACTATGGCAAAGTCAGAAAAAACAGAATGGAGGTGAGATAAATGCCTGCATTAGAACTTGAGGTGTCCAGTTATCTAAGACTAGTGATCCAGCTGTTTACTAACACTAACAGATTTCCTCAGATGTTGATGTCAGGGTAACAGGAGGTTAGCTCTTTCTGCTACAGTGAGTAAGGCAGAGGATGGATAGAGTCATGTTTGCCATGATTTAGCACATCTTTCACATCTCCCCATGAGAAACCTTCTGTTGAGTGGGAAGAAAAGGCACACACAGCCAAGAGAAGAAAATTGGAAATGGCACAGATGAAGTATTGTGCAGGATGGATGACATTTAGAAATGCCCTTTCAAATTCCCTCTGGAAACAACATGTATACTTGGGAGGTGTGACAGGAGATATAATGAGATCTTCTAAATAAAGGTGGAAGGAACAAGTATGATCTGAATGTGCTTTCAATCACACCCATGGGATGTAGAACTTGTACAGTCTGCAAATGTGGACAGGATCCTTGAGGAGGAGAGAGCTGCCACATGTGGACTAGATCCTCATATATTCAGGGTAATTAACTGGCTAAATGGATAAGGGAATAGGTTTGTGGCTCTTTCCAATGAGACAGGACTCCCAACATGCAATGTGGGGTGACGGGTTCCCCATGTCCCCTGACGGGACCCTATGGATTTGCCACAATGCTTAGCAAATCCATTAGACAATGTGATAAGGTCATAGGACCCTCCTGTTCAAGGAGCTCCATTGGCTGCCATTCATTTTCCGGTCCCAATTCAAGGTGCAGGTGCTCACCTACAAAGCCCTCAACGGTTTGGGACCCGCCTACCTGCGTGACCGCATCTCCGTCTATGAACCCTTCGGTCATCTGGTTGGGACCCCCCTACCTGCGTGACCACATCTCCGTCTATGAACCCGCACGCTCCCTCCGATCATCTGGAGAGGTCCTGCTCATGATCCCACCTGCGTCGCAGGCGCGTTTGGTGGGGACGAGGGACAGGGCCTTCTCTGTGGTGGCCCCCTGACTCTGGAACTCTCTCCCCAAGGACATCAGACAAGCCCCAACGTTGGCAGTTTTCAGGAAGAGCCTGAAGACCTGGCTGTTCCAGTGTGCCTTTCCAGAATGCACTTTGATAGAGATTCAGGATAATCTGCACATTGCACCTACCTCCAAATACCTCTATACCTGTCAAGTTCAGCACTTTTAAATTTTGTCTATTACATTTGGCCCGGCCTTTAGGTTTTAATTGCGTTCACGGTGTCATCGTTTTACTGTTTTATTGTTTTGCTCGATGTTTATTATTTGCTTATGAGTTTTATTGTGTATTGTATGTTGTTGTTTCAGCGGCCTTGGCCTTTGTAAACCGCATCAAGTCCTTCGGGAGATTTGCGGGGTATAAATAAAGATATAATAATAATAATAATAATAATAATAATAGGAGTATGGCTATTAGTCAGCTAGTTAGTAGTGCTGTGATCAGTGGCAGCGACTGCTGCTTCTTTCTCCAAGACTGGCTCTGATCTTACTGTTTGCCTTCACACGTGCTGCTTCCTCCTGCTGAGCGCTGGAGCCAGCAAGTAGCAATAGACAAGGCAGTGCAAGAGACGTTTGAGAGAAGTGGGGAGGATAACCATGCTGTACTACTGACCAATTGACAGTAGTAGCCTAGGAGCAATCAGCAGCAGAAGAATCACATA